CCCCCCCGTTTAGGGGTCAAAAAAATTTTCCGGACATTTCAAAATTTTTCCGAACTTGCAAAAAAAAATTCCGGACATAACACATTTCCTCCGTTATTTGGCAGATGCCACAATTTTTTTCTAAAATTCCGAAATTTTCTAGAATATCCAAAATTTTGGTAAAAATTCCTGAATATTTTCCAGATTCATAGTTATTTTTGTAAATTAACTTTCTCTAATTTACCCAAATATCTTAGGCAAATCTACCTGAATTTACCTGAAAATCTACCAAAAATCTACCTGAAATTGCTCATGAGCAATTATCAGGGGGGTGTTACACCCCCCCCCCCTGCTCGCTACGGCTCTGAGGGCGTGTTTATTGTAAATACATAATTTCAGGTCACATAACGGTGTAGAGTTCTGATTTGTCCTATGTCATTACGTTTTATTTAATGTAGGCAATGTCTATGTTGTATTATTAACATTCAACAAAATGTGAGAAAAGTCTCGAGGCGTTATACCATTTTTGTCAAACTTTGTTATTGAATGTTTGTCTGGCATTAGTTAACATACCAAAATAATAAAGTAATGTCTATGCAGCTTTGCGCATTAGCTAGCAATGTGCCTAGATAAACTTGAATACAAATATGTTTATTTCACACCATATACACAACTAGAATACATAAGGAATTTTAACATAGAATACAATATGTAAAATTCCAACGAGAAATCTCAGATTTCACAGTAAATAGTTCTTGATAAATAGTTCTTGATACATAGTTCTTGGTAAAATTAAGTTCTCAGAGTTAGCGTGAACAGTCTCTACAATGAGATATTCGCCTTCTTTCCCCCTCCTCACAGTAATTTTCACACAAATGTGGATCTGCTGGTGTTGAACAAACATTGCATACACATATATTACAATCTACACAATAATATTTTGTTATTCTCCCACAATCAATGCACATGGTGATGTTGGGGTTGAACCTGTTTGGATGGTTACGAGGCTTGAGTTGATGTTCTGGTGTGGATGATTGCATATGTGGTGGTGTGAATGGTTGTTGTTGTGGTGTGGTTGGTTGGGTACGTGGTGGTGTTGTGAATGGCTGATGATGTGGTGTGGATGGTTGGGTGGGTAGTGGTTGCGTGAATGGCTGGTGATGTGGTGGTGTGGAGGGTTGCATGTAGAAAGTAGATGAGGCTTGGTGATTATGTGCTGTGGGATGAAAACTTTGAGTCATCTGTGGCATGAATGTTTGCCGTTGCATGAACATCTGAGAGCACTGTTGCCATGCCTTTTGGAAACCAGCCTGGAATCCTTGCTGCCATGCTTGCTGCCAATCTCCGTCACTGTGACTACCAGATAAGTTTTCGGCAAGTACTTCCCATAATTTCGCTTTCTTCTCCTCACAAGCAGATTTTGTGGTTTTGCTTGATTTTTTGGCAATTCGTGCAATGTGCTGTAATGTTGATACTGCAGCATCAGGGATTGATTTATCCATGTAAAACTCCATAGAGGCATAGTACGGCCATTTTGTCCGGTAGACTTCGTCTGACCCAGCACCTGATTTCTTACTTCCTTTCATCCTCATCCGTTCTCTTTCGAAGTATGTGGCAAGGTTATGCCACTCTTGCTGAATTTTGTCCACACAGTACCGTGAACCTAACTGCTCAGCCAGCCTCTCTAAATTTATTATTATTATTATTAGGATTTTATTTAAAAACACGGAGTCCAATTCACATAGTGTGCTCTTCCCTGGAGCCGTGCAAAACTACCAAATATATGT